TTTTTTAATGTTGCAAAGGAAATTTGAAAATTCAAAAATTTGACCCAAAGAGTTCGGAAAAAAAATACTTCCTTACTGTATAGTAAATCTCAACATTTACAAGAATATTGTTTCTGAATGGAAACCTTGTAATCCTCAGAATACAAGTTTCCAGTTTTTTCTGTTAGGATAACCAATTTTGGGCTCAGGAATCAGAATATGATGCTTTTAGAGCATGTCCGTATGTATGTATGTATGTGTGTGCGTATGTATGCATGTGACCAATTCAGTCTTGCCACGATAAAAAACAATTATCCGAATCGAATGAATCTGGGTAGAAATATTCATTTCCATATTATACAGATCGAGTTAGAAGATAGTGCCGATGCCACTTTTAGTTTTTGAATTATTCTCGAAAATTGGGTCGACCCTGGCATTTTGAAAATTTTGATGATTTTGAAAATTTTAAAAATTATTGAATCAAACACCATTTTACAGACAGTGTGATGAGAAAATCGTGGACTGAATTATTCAAAAATAAAAACTTCCATTTTGGTAATTGTGACGCGTTATCAATAAACATAATAAGCAGAAATTACTTACAATGAGATAGGAAGAGTGTACCATACTTGTACTCGATTATTCAATATTGAAGGCAGTGGAAAATTTCAAATCATGACCATGAGTGCTTACACAGATACACGGAAAAAATCGTCGGAAGTAGTCTTGCGATCACGAGATTTTTCCCGAAGATTCCTACGACGAATGCACCTCGGGGAAAATCGGGAGAAATCCGATTTGACATCCATATTAATGAAGAATTGGTGAAACGATCCAATTGTAGACTGTTTCGGAAATGTCTCGTGTTCAATCGTGAAAATTCCGAAAATTCTCGGAACTCTTCTTAATCAATTACAGTAAACTCCTGATGGAGTAATACGCACATGATTGTAAGAGAAGCAAATTATCACGTTACGCGGGTCACAACAGAATGGTCAAATTTCCCGAGAGTCAAATATCGCAAAGATCACAACGAGATGGTCAAATTTTTCGAGGGTGAAACGTCGCGAAGGTCACAAGAGAATGGTCAACTTTCACGACAGTCAAACCACACGAGGGTCACAACGAAATCATATAATTTTTCGAGGGTTAAAGGTCACGATGGTCGAAAGGTGATGGTCAAATTTTCCGAGGGACAAAAGTCGCGAGGGTTACAAGAATGGTCAAATTTCACGAGAAGAAAACGTCATGAGGGTCACACCTCACGAGGGTCACAAAGAGATAATCAAATTTGACGAGGATCAAACGGCATAAGTGTCACAATGGGACGATCAAATTTTACGAGAGTCGAACGTCACGAAGGTCATATGGATGGTGAAATTTCACGAGAGTCAAACGTCACGAGAGTTGCAAGGAGACGGTCAATTTTCATGAAGATAAAGGAAACGTGATTTTTACGAGGGTCCAACATCACAAGGGGATGAGCATTTATGAAGGAGTCATGCATCGCAAGGATCCTAAGGGAATACGATGCCTAAACATATCAAAATGTTCAAAAGTCATAAGTCACAATCTGAGATTCTCAATTGTAAGAAGGATCATGGTGTTGATTATTGAAATTTATTGAATCCTCCATGTGAGGTCCTTAGAAATTGAAAATATGGCGTTCTCCTTGTGACCCTCGTTTGACCCTCGTCAAATCTGACTATCCTCTTGTAACCCTCGTGACGTTCGACTCTCGTCAAATTTGACTATCCCCTTTTGACCCTGATGATGTTTGACCCTCAAGAAACTTCATCCTCTGCCAGTAACCCTCGTGACGTTTGACTCTCGTGAAATTTGACCATCCTCTTGTGACTCTCGTGACGTTCGATACTCGTGCAATTTGATCATCTTCTTATGACCCTCGTGATATTTGACCGTCAGAAAATTTGACCATCTCCTTATAACCCTCTTGACTTTTGACTCTCGTGAAATTTAACCATCCACTTTTGATCCCCGTAACGTTTGACCTTCAGAAAATTTGAAAATTTCTTTGTGGGGCTTGTGTGGTTTGTTGACTACACTCATGAATTTGTTTCTGAGATACAAATATTTTTTTCAACTTCAAATCGATCCATTTTGTCCCGAACCCCCTATTTGTAATTTCTGTAGCCTCGAAGGGATTTGATTTCGTCGCATTCAATAATTTCTTGCGTTCCCCAGTGATTTTACCGGTTTTCTCAAGAGTTTTACCGTATATTCAATCCTGTAGAAATTTCGTATAATTGACGGAGACAAGGATATTTTTTGGTTCAGCACAGAGAAAATGACGGAGTTCATTCATCTTATGAACTCTCCCGCGAAAATACCGGTGGCACACCTGATTTTATTCATACCTTTTTTCCGTATACAAGGACTTTTTTCCAGTTTCATTTATTCAATATCCGAAAGTGAATATCATAACTGTCAAGTGCTAGAACTATCAACTAATTCTAATTAGTTGATAGTTCTAGCACTTGACACAGAAATGTTGTTTCTCTCTAGATAAACAACATTTCTGCTTTCCGGTAATAATTGTACGATCAAACAAAATTACATGTAAGTGAAGTTCGATCGTGATTATATGAAGAGCCTCGTCGAGAGATTTTAATAACTTATACTAGCCCGCCTGCGGCTAGATGGAGCCACACGCCCTCAGAGACCATAGAAAAAGTTGGCTGTGGCACGTCGGCGGTGAGGGCTCGCCATCTTATCATGAGTTTAAAGTTAAGCAATAGTGTAGAAAAAATTGGACGGGTTTGGGAAAGCTAGTTGAGAGGGACTGGATCTGTCGACAAGGCTCTTCATATAATCACGATCGAACTTCACTTACAGATAAGTTCGTTTGATCGTACCATTATATTCGAGCCTCGTCTTCGAGATTTTAATAACTTGTAGGTGTTCAGAGATCATCCAATTTTTTCTTTTGTTTTTTTTTTTNATATCCGAAAGTGAATATCATAACTGTCAAGTGCTAGAACTATCAACTAATTCTAATTAGTTGATAGTTCTAGCACTTGACACAGAAATGTTGTTTCTCTCTAGAGAAACAACATTTCTGCTTTCCGGTAATAATTGTACGATCAAACAAAATTACATGTAAGTGAAGTTCGATCGTGATTATATGAAGAGCCTCGTCGAGAGATTTTAATAACTTATACTAGCCCGCCTGCGGCTAGATGGAGCCACACGCCCTCAGAGACCATAGAAAAAGTTGGCTGTGGCACGTCGGCGGTGAGGGCTCGCCATCTTATCATGAGTTTAAAGTTAAGCAATAGTGTAGAAAAAATTGGACGGGTTTGGGAAAGCTAGTTGAGAGGGACTGGATCTGTCGACAAGGCTCTTCATATAATCACGATCGAACTTCACTTACAGATAAGTTCGTTTGATCGTACCATTATATTCGAGCCTCGTCTTCGAGATTTTAATAACTTGTAGGTGTTCAGAGATCATCCAATTTTTTCTTTTGTTTTTTTTTTTAGTAAACCCCAGATTTAATACGAATGTGAATATTGAAGAGTTTAAAGACGAATGTTAATGAACACAAAGAATGGTTATTGACTAAACCATTTTCAATAGAACTTTGACAAAAAAGCTATGATCAACGGCAATTATAGAAATGTACAAATCGTACTTCTAAACCTTTCGAGACTTACTCGTTTTCTCACAGCAGCTGGAGTTACTGTATAATTAGTAATGTAAGTTGAGAATCAGCTGTATCGACTCCAAGATGGCTATAAGACAATATAATCCGTTAGGCCTGTGTTTATAAAGAGTCGCAGCTATAAAACTCTCTGAATGTAACGAACAGTATAGAGATGTTATATCTAAAATCTCAACATACTACAGAAAGATACCTTAGCTGCGCAAAAATGATGCCTTTCAAAAAGGAAAAGGAGAAACAGGCTGTGGATCGCCTGGGCGAGAAGATTGTAACCTGTCTGGTATCGTGAAATCCAGATTTGACGCACCTTTGACACTATTCTCAAGTTTAATGGCACAAAATGTTTGTCATCTCTGCGAAATACTCAAGGGCAAAAGAAAGACATTTTTATTAAGATGAAGAATTGACAGATTTGCGTTGAGTGGGAAAGACCTGGCTGGTAGGTCAGAATACACTCAAGATACTAGATGTGCGTGCATTGTGATTTACCAGGACGTAGTTGGAAAATTTGTTGAACAACCTTTGGAATTTAAATGTTTTCCCACTATTAGCCTATGTAACTGGATCCGGATAGGAGTCATTGAGGTTAAATCACTGGAAACACATTTAGCGATAACAATCGTTTATTCAGAATTCACTGACTATTCCACAGCTGAGTTTCAAACATTTGTGTTGCACTGTACGTAATTAAAAATACCTCTTTAATACAAAAACCTTCGATATTTAATGGACTGTATTTCTGATGCACGTGTTTTCGTTGGAGATCTCAAGCGAACAGAGAGCGAAGCGCTCCCAACGCGTAACTATTATTCAAAAGTGTCAATAAAGAAATCAATGACTGATCAGGTCGCTAAATGCCAGCATGTGGCCTTTTAATAAACTAGAATGTAGTCAATCCGGTAACATTTTCTCCCCCTTTGGGAATGCGATTGTCAAAATGATTCTGCAACAAAAACTCAAAATACAAAACAAAATGAAACAATAAGCAAAACAATGATACCCCGATCACAAGCTTCTGACTAACGAAAACAGCCAACTAGTCAGCACCATCGAGCTTATCATCTCCATCCACCTCAGCCGACATGATCTTGACTGGGAGTGGGCACACCTTCACGATCGGCCTCGTAACAGTAGACGACTGAGTCTTTACCGTAACCACTCGACATAATCCGTCGTCTCCAAGATGGAGCTTGACGATCTTCCCTATGGGCCACTTCGTAGGTGGCAAACGTTCATCTGTAAGCAACGCCAAAGCCCCCAGCTCACGGTTTGCTGATGGCCTATGCCACTTGTTGATCTCCTGCAACTTCTGGATGTAGTCAGACGACCAGAGCTCTCAGAACCTCTCTGTCATCTGACGGATATGCTGATATCTGGACAGCCTAGAGATAGGTAGATGCCTCAGCAAAGGCTCATGAACAGTCGTCAGCACCGAACCGATCAGGAAATGCCCAGGAGTCAGCACAGAAAATTCCTCATGATCGTCAGGCAGCTGACAGAGCGGTCTAGAGTTAAGAATAGCCTCCACCTGGGTCAGCAAAGTAGACAGTCCCTCATAGGTCATTTTAGTGTCTCCAATCACACGCTTAAGATGAAATTTAGCAGAGCGAACTGCAGCCTCCCACTTTCCACCATGATGAGGAGCTCCCGGGGGATTAAACATCCATTTAGTCCCATCCTTAACAAGGCTATGAGCGATAACATTAGCTTCTTTCCCTGCAGCATCAAACAGCAGCCTCAACGCCTTGTTTGCTCCAACAACATTAGTTCCACAGTCACTTGTGATCGTAGAACAGATGCGACGTCTAGCTGTGAATCTTTTATAAGACGCTAGAAACCCTTGAGTGCTATAATCGCTCACCAATTCGATGTGGACGGCAGAAGTAGTGAAGCAAACGAAGATAGCCAGAAACCCCTTGAAAGTCTTTGCACCTCGGCCTCTCCAAGTCAGCAAAGTCAGAGGTCCAACATAATCGACTCTACTATGAAGAAATGGGCGAGCATGAGTGATTCTCCTCAGCGGCAATTGCCCCATAAGCTGCTTCGCAGCTTCTCCACGAAACTGAGCACAAGTTACGCAGCGATAAATGACGCTCTTGACTGGTCTTCTTCCTCTCAAGATCCAGTACCTCCTCCTCAAAGTCGCTAACATTAACTGGACCCCACCATAAAAAGTCTGAGGATGGATTTGTTGCAAAACTAGCTCCGTGAACCTTGAGCGAGAAGGCAGAATTGCTGGATGCTTAAAGTCCTTCTCAAGAAAAGATTTTTGCAGTCTTCCAGTCAGGCAAATAATGCCTCTACTGTCGATGAAAGGCACAAGACGATACAGAGGGCTCGCCCGAGCCACACACTTCGATTCCCTTAGACTCGTGACATTCTCAGCAAAACCCTCAGCCTGGGTCTCTCTAATCCAAAAAATCCTCGCATCCTCGATCTCACGAGGCTGTGGAATCCGATCTCTGAACTCTAGAACTCCCTCACCTGTGGATTTTCTCAAAATTTTATCCTGCTTCACCAGAAGCACTCGACGGCATCAGGCAGTCACCACCAGCAGCTTCTTCAATGAATCATAGCGCTCCATCACGTCCCAAACTTGATAAGTCTTAGCTTCAGAGGCTGAATGCACTGATACATTCCTCCTCTCGTGATGCTCAGCCTCATCTACCAAAAACTTCCGTTCCGACCAACACGACTCTGACTCAGCTAACCATTGTGGACCATTCCACCATAGCTGACTCCTAGCTAACTTCTTACTCGATACTCCCCTTGATACCAAGTCAGCAGGATTATACTCCCCAGGAACATGTCGCCAGCAAGCCTGAGCACCAGTCTTTGACTCTCCTCAACCCGGTTCTTCACGAACTGCTTATATTTTGCAGCATCCGCTTTAATCCAGTGCAGCGCCACCGACGAGTCTGTCCACAGATGAATCGACAAGTTATCCACACAAAGAGCCTTATTCACTGAAACGACATGCCGAGCCAGCAGCGATGTAGCCATAAGCTCAAGCCTGGGAATCGTGACCTTGATCGAACTCGACCTTTTAACCTTCCCCCCATCACGGATAGGTGCTAACTTGGATTTAGAAGATACGTGACTGATACTCACAGTGCCATCAACATCAAAAACCTTAAGATATACCACAGCTCCATAGACAGTACCAGAAGCATCAGCAAACTCATGAAGTTCTACACGTTCAGTAGAGTCACTCATGTTGAAGTGCCTAGGTACCTTAATCATCTCCAGATCTTGGATCTCCTGAGCAAACTGATTCCAACGCTGCTCGACCTCCTCTCCCAGCTGCTCATCCCATCCTAGCTGCAACTTCTACAGGTCCTGAATCAACAACTTCCCTTTAACGACAAAGGGAGCAACCCAGCCCAACGGATCACAGAGCTGAGCTACCTGAGACAGAATAAAACGTTTAGTGAGAATCTTAAAATCAGACTGAGGTTTGCGTGAAAAGAAAAAATAATCCTGCGCAGAGTCCCAGTTCAATCCCAGAGTTCGATGAGACTCCTGATTGTCGATAAGATGCGTTGATGAATCACTCACAGAACTGGAAATATCGAGCAGCAACTCAGACTGATTCGCTGTCCACTGCTGAAGTGGCAGCCCTCCTGCTCCGAACATACTGTTCACCTCACGAATCTGCTTTCTACAGCCTTCAATCGTGCTCGATCCCCCATGGACATCGTCCATATAAGTTGTATGCAAAACCACCTCGCCAAAAATGGTGCTCATCTGGTGCCATACCTCACAGTGTTCAGTTGATACTCAACAATCTCCCCTGAATCCTCCCTCCACAAAATTCTCTGGTAATCTCGGTCGTCGGGATGAATGAGAATTTGTCTAATCATCTTAGTCACGTCCCCAGAGTACACATACTTATGTCTCCTCCATCGTGAAATGACACCAAAAATCTCTGCCTGCAGTTTAGGCCTTTCGTGGGGCAAATCATTCAAGGAAACCCTACATGACATCTTCGCTGAACCATTAAAAACTACTCTCAATTTAGTGGTCAGACTTGACTCTCTCACAACTGGATGATGAGGAAGATAATAAATACCAGAAGAATTGCCATCTCTATTCTCCACCCTAGACATGTGCCCAAGACGTTCGTATTCCTCCAGGAACTCTCGATATTTCCGATGTAGCTCTGTTCAAAATCTTCAAAGCCAGACCTCGAGAATCTCCAAGCTGATCCGGTGATGACTTGAATGGCAATCGGACGATGTAACGTCCGCTCTCAACCCTCAAAAAGTGCTCTTGAAATATTCCTCACAGCTAACCTCCTCAGAATCCATCTCTTCAGACCTATCAGAAAACACCTCCTGCTGAGCCCAGAAGCCCTTGACGAGAACACTCATTTCACGATCAGGAAATACGGAAACTCGACACCTGATCCTCCAGCTCCTTCTCCACCAGAATTTTCCCAGAGATGATTCAACCCAAAGAAGTCTGCTGTGCTATCGGCTGCTCCAGAGACTCACGCCTCAACCCTGACTGGATGATTTGATGGTACACGTCAACTCCCAGAATAATATCAATACTTCTGCTGCTGCTGTAGTTTGGATCAGCAAGTTCAAGCCCATCAAGCACAGACCATTTTCGATAAGCCTCTCTTCTAGGTACATAGTCCGTCAAATGCGTCAGAATGATCATCTTAACAACGCAAATAGGTTGCTCCCAGCGAGAGAACAACTCCACAGAAATAATTCCGCTAGCAGCATACGAACTCCCTCCGCCAACTCCAGAAACTGCGTAGCTATATCACCTGTGAACAAGGATCAATCAAAGCCCTTGCCTCAATCAACTCACCAGACCTCGACTTGACCTTGACGATGGCAGTCGCAAGAATCGCTGATGATGTTCCTACTGATTTCTCCTGACTAACGGCATGCGAAGCTGGCCGTGATGGTCAGAAGCTGGATTGAAGCTACGCTCCTGAGCAGAAGAACCTCCTGATGTTGGCTGACTGCCTCTTTGAACCCACGGCTGTCTGTCCTCTGAAGAATGATGGATCGACGTATGATGTTTTTCTCCACATTTCTGACATCTCTTCCTTGAAAGACATCTGTCCTTTCGATGATTCCCGAGACAGTTGAAACATCGCTTCAACTCAATAACCTTATCCTCCCTCTGGTGTGACGTCAGAGATTGATAGACAGGACAACCATCAAGATAATGATCCTCGTTGCAAAGACCACACTTTCGGGAAGGATTCTGATTATTCACGTGATGTTTCTGAGCACCAGACGCATGACTCCTCGAATTTGATGAATTACTCGATGCTGCAACTGCTGATGCTGGATCATAGTCAGCCTTATACGACGTGAGTATTCTGATCCTCTCCAACAAAAAGCTCTTAACATCCTTCCACTTCGGAGGCTTCGTTGATGCTCCAAGGAACCGTTTCCACTCCTCGACAGTCGATTTATTCAGCTTCCTGATCACAATATACACCAGCAGATCGCCCCACTGATTAACTAGTCTCTGCAGAGCCCCTAGAGAACCCAAAGCTTGCTCAACATCTGTATACAACTTTTCCAAAGGCTCCACTGAGTCCTTAGTGATAGGAGCAGCATTAAAAAGCAGCGACAACGACACGTTCACCAGAGCCCTCTCATTGTCGTAATAATTCACCAGACAGTCCCAGGCTGCTTGGTAGTTCGCCCTCTCGAGTGCAAAGTTCTTCAGTTTCTTCTCAGCGTTCCCTGCTATGTGATTCTTCAGAACGAACAACCTGTGCGCCGATGTAAGACCAGGATTCATAGCCATGGCCTCCAGAAACATTTGTTTAAAATTCACCCAGTTCGAAAGATCCCCGTCGAACATAGGAATCTCAAGTCTGGGCATCTTGAGCGTAGGTGCATGGCGTGATTGCTGCTGAGGAACCACTGCTGGTTTCTATGGCATTTGACCAGGAGGCTTAACAGCGTCAGCTGCATACTTGAGCGCCTGCATCTTCTCAAGCGCCGATCAATAATTCTCCTCAGTAGCCTGGTACTCACGATCTCTGAAATAGCTATATTCGCAGAAGGCTTTCTGGACATCAGGCTTCGATGTGTACTTACCCTTCCACAGTATATTGTGATTCTCCTGATACTTATTCCATTTCAGATTCAATGAGCGCATCCTGTTATCAACCCTTGCAGGAGTGATTGCCTCTGAAATTAACAGATGATGAGCCTTGCCAATATAACAACATCTGACAATGAGTCATTGTGCAAGATAATCAACCGACAGATGATAAAACTCAATATCCACGTACGATAACAAAATCAGTTACCTCTACCGATAATCAGCCAATCTGTCCAACCGACCCACACAACTGCGAGATTTAAGATGGCTGACAGCGCAGAGAAACGGCGCGAAAACGGCCACTGACGACGCTCGACCGACGCCAATACCCCACGATGACGCTCCCGTCCGAGCTGATAATGCACCTCCACGATGATTTCCTGACGTTCCGATGACGATCCTCCGATGATTTCCACAGATAACTTCCCGATGATTTCCGCTGATGATTATCATGATGGTTCGCCTCGATGATTCCCAAGATAAGCACACGATGATTTTCACGGTACAGACCCCAAACGATGCCTCTCAGCGACGCCGTGGACGCCAACAGCTACTTCGCACCTCGACTCGATAATGCTCCACCCGATGAATGTCACTTTGTCTTTGTCTTCTCCGAATTTGGCGCCTAATTGCCTGTAGTTCATTGAAAATGGGCACTGGCATATCAGTAACATAACCTCAAATGTCTTCCAGTTAACGTACAATAACATCGACTCAAAAGTGTGGTCAAGTCCAGAGGTATCAATTGTTTCGTTTTACTTCTGAAAAATTATAAGTATCGTGAAGTTCCGTGATAGATACTGTAATCCTTTAAAATTGGCAAACCATGTTGTTAAAAAGCATTACGTAAACCATCCGATACTTTGATTGCCGAAGTTCCTACACTGAAAGGTGCTAAAATTTGTAGTGGTTGTCGGCAACTACTGGGGAAATTACCGAGTAGTGTTTTGCGGATTATTACGGTTGATGAAACTGATGACAGTAACGAAGCCCAGGATGAATCAAACGTTGAAGAAATTGAAGTGAGTGAACCTGTGGATGAATTATGTGTCGTACCTGAAAATGAACCCGTAACAGAGAAATCTATCGGTGAACCTGAGGCACCCACTTATTATCCTCAGATGGAGAAACTCTTGTCTGGTCTATCAGAAGTATCTTTGTCCCAACTATCTGGTGCCAATCAACAATCTCTCGTAAGATCACAGTCAACAATAATCAGTTCCTCAACAACCCTCAGTCAAACAACGAACGCAAGTGATGAAACGTACTGTCCCACTGCTCCCCAACAACCCAAAGTCTACGGCAATTATGTCGATGATAAGAAAAGCATCAGCTTCGCACAAGCTGGAGAAGAAATGTTGAAACAATTGCAGGAGAGATATTCAGACCCCAAGATGAGCAAAGTGGAGAAATACTTGATGCTTTCAGTTGTTCTCAAGAGTTGGACTATCAGGACGACTGCTCATTTTTTCAATACTACTCGATGGATGGTGAAGGAAGCCAAAACCTTAGTCGATCATAAAGCAATTTTAAGAGCTCCTCAGCCACGTGTTGGTAGGAGAATGGACCAGAACACAGTTGATACCATTAAGGCTTTTTATAAGCATGATTCAAAGAGTAAACTATTAGGTAGTGCAAAAGACTTCCTATCAGTTAAATAGCCCGATGCATAATGATTACATTTACAGAAACGTTGTCTGTAAATTGGAAGACTTAGTATTGTAATTTGGAGGATTTAGTCCGATTATTTTTGTTAGCTCATCCCAATGTAGAAGTTGGTTTGTCGACGTTGGCAAAATTTCGAGCTGAGCAATGTGTCTTTGCTGGAAAATACGGGACACACTGTGTATGTCTCTGTGTATACTATGAGAATTTGAAACTCATGATGGATGCTTTAGATTTTCCGAGACTGAGAATTCAGCACATAAATTGTCGTCATACAAAGATTTGATGGCTCTTATCACCTGCAACAAACCAACACCTCCGTGTCATTTGGGAAAATGTCTAGAATATCCCGACTCAACGGTTCTGAAAAAATTTTTTCAGGAAATATTTGATGAAAATGATATTGATTGAGTAGAATATCACTCATGGACTGAGACTGATCATGCAGCAATGACAGTGAACGTATTGACCGGTGATGCATTTGTTGAAAGCTCGAGTGAAAAAACTGTGCTGCTGAAAACACACGCATTCATTGCCAAACAACAATCTGAATACGTGGACTACAGGAAAAAGAAATTACAGGAAGGAGAATTCATTATTCGAATGGATTTTGCAGAGAGATATACCTTCGTGGCACAGGATGCCATCCAATCATTTCATTGCAGGGATAATCAAGCTACAATTTTCACTGTTGTATATTATTACAAACTTGATAATCAATTTCTAGATTGCAATCTTATCAAATAATCGTCAGCACAATACGGCTGCAGTCTATGAGTTCCAGAAATTGTTACTTCAATATTTGCAAAGTAAATTCAAGGTTACTAAAGCTATTTACTTCACTGATGGAGCAGGCCAGGATTTCAAGAACCGGTTCACTATTGTAAACTTGATGGAACATGTCAATGATTTCAAGATATGTGCAGAGTGGCATTTCTTTGCCACTGCACATG